TAATTTATATCCAGAGAAGCCCCTGGAGGCATCTTTAACAAATTAATAAAGATATAAGCAAAACCTCACCTTAACTCTAAAAAAAAAAAAAAACCAAACAAATTTTTTTCAAATAAATTTTTTTTAAAATTTAAAATAAAATATTCCAATAATTATTTAATTAAACTTAATAAAATTTTTTTTATTTTAATTTTATATAATTATAGAATTAAAAAAAAAAATTTATTAAAGTTGTTTAAAATTGTTGAAATATCTTAATTTAAACTTTTAAAAAAACTTGCTAAAAATAATTTACATAGTTTCTATTGACATACTCTTATATATTGTTTTTCAAATACATCTTTATATTAAATGCAATTCAACATATATTAAATACAATTTAATATATGTCAGATAATGATTTTTAGATAATATATATAATCTGTTAATAAGTGTTTAGTTTGTAATCTTAAATATATAAATTGTTAACTAATATATGATTAACAATTATGTACTTAAATATTTTATTATTATAAAATAATATTTCATAATATTATTTGAGACAAAATTTCTAAAACTAAAATAAATACAAAAATAAATTATTAAAAATCTATTAAAAGTTAATCTTAACTCTTTAGAATTTTATTTCAAAATAATATTCAAAATGTTATTTTATAATAATATAGAATTTTAATAAAATTTTTAATAAAATTATTTAATTATATCACAATTTAAATCTATGTTTTATTAAACTTTACTATAACAGAGGGTGTGGTAACCTAGTAAAGTAGATAGGTTGTTGACTCCCAAGTGGCAGGTCTAGAGCTTAAATCCCAGTAATAACAAAAATTTGCAATTCTTTCTATATTATAGTTAACTGTCTTCTGTGATTGGTTAAGATAAGATACCTGTAACCCATGTCATATTAGCATGACTGAAAGGTCTAGACTCTCATACAACATTATATAAAGAATACAAACCAGTACCAGGTAGTGTGAACCTAAGATAAGTTCTTAGACTATGTAAATTACAGGAACCAAATAGAAAGACAAAAGCTTACTTGAAAGACCTAAATAAAAAGGTAATCTGAACTTTTGACAATACTACTATAAAGATTAGACTTATGAAACAGAGTTAGAACTTATAAAACTTAATAAATGTGTTAGTCTTTGAAAAGGAACTAGATGAACCAACTAGGCTACTAGAATTTTCAGGTTCCAAATAAAAAGGGTATATATCAGCAAACATATAAATCTGAGGTGTATAAATTTGATCTACTTTTCTGGACTATCTGAAATGGCAGCTTAGTGGAATTTGAATTGAATACCAAAGTAGTAAAGATATGTTGTGAAGTCAATACTAGGGTTAGAATAAACTCTACAAGAATATAGTAGTTTAATGATATGCCCTGATCATCAGTGTTGGTCTTGGTCATAATAATACCAGATCAGCTATAAGAATAGAATACAAAGATTCTGAAAAGTTTAGTACAAGATCAAAGGTTTCAAAGAACTGTTTTAAAGACTTAGTAGCTATAACATATTTTTATTGGTACTAACTGGAGTTATTGATAGGCAGAGGTAGTTGAGTGGATACAAAAACTAGAATAGTTAAATAGAGAACCTACAAGCAGATTTCAGATATGGCAGCTAGTATAAAATCTTCAAGTGGACTACTTAAATTAGACAATAACTAAAGTTGTACAAATGGCTAGTTGTACACTCTTTTTATAGTTGCCTCTGTAGTTGTAATGCAACCATTAGTCAAATATACTATTAATAAAATCCTGAAACACAAGTACTTATCTTAATATTTAAAAAAAACAAAAAAAAACTTTACTATAACAAACATATAGGCTAAGTTTTATAAAAAGAAAGAAAAATGATAAATTTTTTAAAATAAATGTTTTATATAAATCAATTTAAAATAATGTTAGGATTATTTTTTAACTAAAGTATAAAGGCACTAGTATTAATAAAATTCTGCAATATAGTTATGAAAGTTTACATTTTCTTATAAATTATTATAAAATTTATAATATAAATATTGAGAGTGTGGTGATCTAGTGAAGTAGTTAGATTATCTACCCCCCAAGTGGTAGGTTGGGTGTTCAAATCCCATTGACAGTGAAAATTTAAATAATCACCTATGTAATCTGGTATTATAACAACTGGTTCTAATAATTAAGTTAAGATATCTGTAATTATAATCACATCAGCATGACTGGCAGGTCATAGGACATCTGTATAACTTGTTATATAGAGAAATACAAACTGACAAATCAGGCAGTGCAAATTCAAAATAAGTCCTTGTGGCTGTGTAAATCTATAGAAATTAGAAAACAAAAAACCTATTTGGAAAGACCAGAATAGAGAAGTAACATGAATCTTTAATAGTATCACTATAAAGACTAGGCCTAATAAACAGATAGTAATGCTGAAGTAGCCAGACAAGCAAGAACCTCCAGATTGGAAGTATCAGAAGTACCACCAGATTAGACTAAAGGAAAAGAATATTAGACTGACCTAATATACTGATAGACTGGTTGTAGTCCTACATAGGTTATCTGGATTGGAAATTTGGTAAAAAAAACAAGGGTATAAGGAATATACTGTGAAGTAAGTACTGGGATCTGTGTGAACTCTACAAGGACATAGCAGTTTAATGGTTAGACTGACTGCAAGTGTTGGTTCTGCCATAGTAATATCTAGATCAGTTGCAAAAATGAGTAAATAGCAGACTCCAGAAGGTTTACCTTAAGAATAACTGTTTTAAGGTTGAGACGAAGAATCCAGACTTGACCTGGTGAAGTAACATGGGACAGATTCAAAAGGTTTAAATGAAACACCCAAGCAGGAATGTTAGATACAGCAATTAGTAGAGAACATTAGATGGACTCCTTAAATAGGTAATATAAAAAGTTGCATGAGTGACCAATTGTATGCTCTTCCTGTAATAGCTCCTTACAGAACTATACTTCTAAAAATATGTTAATAAAATCAAAAGACCAAAAAGGTTACCTTAATACCAAAAAAAAAAATAACATAAATATTGATTTTCTGATGATCTTTTTTTGTTGATTTCCTTCTTTTTTGCAGAACACAGCCCATATATGCATTAATATTTATTAAAACAAAAATAACTATTATAACAATAGTTTGTACACTTCATATTTACCCTTTTATATTTGTATTTCTTATTACATAAACCCTTATAGTTACAAAAAGAACCTATACTATCTCTATATTTTGGAGTCTTAATGTTTCATATATAAATATTTGATTTGATGGATTTTTATCAAGTTTAAAATAAGTAGCAATTTCAAATGCTTCAAGCTTGCCTGAGGAGTAACTTACATTGATTATAGCAAATTTACTACCAAGGTAGTATCAGTTCTCTCCAGTTTTCTCTAAAATCTTGTAAGATAAAACAGAACAATCAATATTAAATCAATCAATTCTTGGAATGCTCACTTTTATGAAATCAACAAGCTTCCTTTTTTTAACATTTGTTGTGCCATTTTATCAGTATACTGCACAAGACTAATTTATGCAGCATCTTGTAATATTTTATGCTGCTCAGAACTTAAAAAACTATTAGTTATATCAGCAAATGCTCTATGGTTATTGGGCGAAGACACTAAAAAATAAATTGCTATTATACTATATACTAAATAATCAATATATTTATCATTATCATTTGAAGCACCGGATTTTGAGGTGAAAGCGCTAGACAACAGTTATTGGGTGATGACACTAGATAACTAAATTGCTATTAGACTATATATTAAATAATCAACATCGCCCGCATTAAGCTAATTTTAAAGTTAGTATTAAATTAGGGTTGAATTAGGATAAAAAAAATAAAGCTATATTAAAATACAAGAGGAATTTTTTTATTAGAACACGAAAAGCAATTTCATAGGCGACATTCTAAGATAGAACCATTTTCTTTCTTTCCAAAAACGATCAGTTAACAAATATTATATGATTTTAAGTTAGGTTGCTGCCATTAAACTATCTTCTCCACATCAACAAAAAGTTTGCGTATAAGTAATAAAACTAGGTACTTGGAATATCAAAAATTTAATAGATATAGATAATAAATAGATAATCATGTCACTATAACAATCTTTATGGGCAATTTCTAGGCAAATTAAAAAAATGCTTAACCTCAAGAGTCTAATGAAATATGTATATTATTCTCTAATAAATATCGCTTTTTCGCTCCCTACCATTCCTGCACGTTCTGTTTTCGTTTCCAGATAGTCAAGACCTAGAAACTGATCATCATCAAACTCGTACTTCGATAGAACAAGGTCTATTGAATATACATAATGATAGTTATCAGCAATTTAAATTTTTTTTTTTTTGAAAAACAAAGTATAAATACCATCATCATCTATATATTCATGATCAGTATAAGATTCCGCTTGTACAATTGCAATTTTCACTTTTGAAAAATCTTTATCACTCATTCCTAAGCGTAACTGAAGTCGCAGCTTTGCCTTAGAGAAGGGTTCATCCTGATTATAAAAAAATTTCATACCAAATATAAATCAATGTAATTAATCAAATAAAAATGTCATTTAAAAATACTAACGGCTTTAAGAACAAATTTAAATGGAATTCCATGCGCACATAACGGCTCTTTAGTAAAATGAAACACATGAATAATTTTATCATCAGCACCCAGTTCAATTTCATCTTGTGGTATTTCCTAAATACGAAATATTATTTTTCCAAAAAAATAATATTTAAAAGTCACATTAAAATGATAATGAATGAAAGAACAAACCTCTGCGTATAACGTCACTTGTTCTTGTATTATATCTATTGGATCATCAATATCATATTCATTTTGAATTTTGAAATGTAAGGCATCATACAATCTAATGCTACTTGTAGGTATTGGTAATGATAGTTTTTGTACAATTACTTTTAAAATTTCATTAATTACTGCAGTCTTTGGAAGAAGAACTGTAATCACTTCCTTTAAAAACAACCAATATTAATTCATGAATTGACTAAATTCATAGTATAAATCGAAATATTATAATGCTATTTTTACCTCTTTCATAATAGAGGTCCCGAGCCAATATACTTTGAAGAACATATTGGTTTCTAATTCAGCAGTATTAATGTCAAGTATCTCATAATATAAAAGATTTAGTAAGCTAGGTAGATATGCTGTTTGAAGCATCTCTAACAACGTTTGGTTGGCTGCACTTTTAATTATAGCAGCTTTATATGCACCGGTCGTTGGATGTGCCGTTCCAAACTGTACTTTCAAAGGATCCGTGATTAAAAAAGCAGCAACGCTTTTAGCGACCTATAATTGTATAAATAAATATATATTAAACAACTACATGAAACTTTATTCTGATACCAACTCACTTTGCAATTCATAATAATGTGAAATATAATTTTAACGTACTTCATCATATGTATTTCTTTTATTTAATGTTAACTCAAATTCAGATTTTGGTTCACGGTCTTTATATTTTGGCTTAAATCGTACAACAACACACATCAATAATGAATCATAAAATTTAGGAATGTCACAAATAACATCAGCAGCTGTATGTTGTATTCTAAATTGAGGCAAAAAAGTTTTCTGATAAAAAAATTGAATTAAAACATATGATAAGATCAGGTTAATAAATAACTTACTCATGTTCTGTTAAAGCTTTTTGAAAGCAAATTACATCACCATCTTGTATCTCAGATTGCTGAAAAGTTAATTTAGGCTTCATACTTTCAATCATATTTGGTTTTATCTCCTGTATTTTAATAAAATAAATATGTTATTACTATCAACAAAATAATTATATATATTATATATACAAAAATAAATCTCACTTCGTATATATTCAGTGATGTGCCTGGTGGAAAGTGCTTTTTTTCACAAAGAATTGGAATGATATCACCAACTTTACCAAACTTTCGAACATATAAATAACAAAATCCTCTGTTTACATGTGCATAAAAGATTAATTCTCATGTAAAATGAATTCATGTCAAATGAATTCAATCAAATGAATTCATGCAAAATGAATCCAATCCAAATGAATTCATTTCAAATAAATTAATGTCAAATAAATCCATGTCAAATTGATTAATTAAATTACATACTTTAGAGATTGTCTATCCGTATCAAAGTACTTGATGAAAACTAATATATGAGGATCATTTACTATGGTCGGAAACCATGTCTACGCATCAAACAAATAACAATTGAAATAGTAAGCAAATACATGTTCTAATAATATATAGGTTGTTAAATACTAGATATTACTTCGCCGTTAATTTGTTTATCAGCCACCTCCAAAAACAATTTCAGATCAAGTTGTCTTGGTGCAAATTTTGTATGAATTTCTTCCATAGCTATTCATGATAAAGTTAATAGAAGATTTAATATAATCAATATGAAATGAAAATAGAAAAGAACTGTTTGTTTTACATATGACTTACTCATGCCAAGAAAACTCTCTGTTAATGGAGTATCTGGCCTGAGAGTTTTATTTTGACGACTAACAAGAATCCAAAATCTTATTTGCTCGACTGGAATCCTGATTTTTTTAGCGACCATAGTTTTAAAAGTTCTATACGTTTCACTTTTTAAAACATTAAACTGCTGAACTTCAGATATTGGATATTGCCGATCTTCAATATTTGCGAGATCAAACCCTTGATGAGACTCAAAGATTTCTGGAGTAATAACCTAATGGTAAATTTTAAAACTTGAACTGCTTTGAATAATACAAATTTATCATTAATTCACATAATATCATTATGTAATTACCTTAATAGGCAAATATAAATGACGCACTTCCGATTCTTTTTTTTTCTGTTCATGTAAAGTTTTCTCTTCATTTAAGCGACTTTCTGTTAAAAGTGCATGTGAAAAATAAGTTCAACGTAATTTAAATTATAATATCAATGAGATCACTCACTCAGGTGTTCTGGTATATCCTCAGCAAGTATAGGAGATAATACAAAGTCGATATCAGATTCACGGATATATATCAAACTATATGCAGTCATATAACCGGCTACAGTATGATCATTGCCTCCGTAATTATTTTCAAGTACTTCTTTATCTGTTACTGGTGTAATTGTATCATCATCAAACTTAAACCTTTTATAATAATTAATATTTGGTTATCTTAAATTATTATTATTACAATTTATTGATTAAGTTATTGTTAAAATTCAGACCATCTGCCATTCCTTTCTGGTTTTAAAAAAATATGATAACTGCCTCCATGGAAATCACCACTATGAACAATTACTCTACATACAATAAAAAAAATCATTATTATATTTTGAAAGCCATATATATTGATAATAATGAATCCTCAATTAATTAATTATTCAATTACTCAATTACACACCCATGAAGTAAATAATTATGCGGTTTTGACTTATCACTATCTAATGATAAATATTCCTGTAAATCAATTTCCATAGGATATTCGTGACGACCATTTATCTATGTATGTATAATTTTTAAATCCAATAAATTACTGAATTAAAGATTAGAGGTCATAATAAATGTTGCGGCTGATGCTGAAATTTGGACCTATTTTGATATGAATTTTTTAAAAAAAAATTTCCCGCCTTTTTTTTATGGTTAAGTTAGTGTTTAGGGGTTAGAATTGATAATTAATGAGTATGTGTGGATTTTTACAGTGCTTATATTTTCAAATCACGACCCCAAATCTCAGCATCAGCCGATTTCAGTATCAGCCACGACAATAAATACCTTAACTGTAATATCACTTTGTATATCATATTCAAGTCGGTTTAAATTTATTCGAAGTACAGATGGAAAACTTTCAAAAATTACTCCTTTCTTTGCATCCTATAGATAAATAGAGTCAAAATCTTTTGCATTTAATTTAATTTTCAGTTACATTGTAGCTAAAATATGATTTACTTGTAAACCGTATGTTTCAGTTTGGTATTTATTATTTCCTACACAAAATTCTTCACGAATATATTCTTGAAAAGAATCATTTAAAGTTTTGCACCCTTTAACTTTAATTTGAATATCTATCTCGATAAAATCAAATGTTACTTTAACCCAATTTTTAAAATCTATAAGTATATGTACATATATATCACTATTACCATAGTAATCCTCAATGCAAGAGCTCTCATAATCTACGTTAACACATCTAACATAATTCTTCATCTCTCCTGAAAACAGTTTGGAAATAGCACCATCTGCATATGTATTCTTAAATTCCAAATAGATATAATATAAATGTTATTCAATTTGTAATGAATAACTTGAAATATTTGTTTAATTCAATAAATAATAAGCCCACCTTCATTTTATTTTCTAAACAATCTAGTAACATTCTATCAAATTCCTGTATATCATATTGCATATAACCATCTAACGAATCCAACCCAATAGATTTCGTTAATTCAGTTGTTTCAACTGGTGTATCTGATACTTGTAATTGATAAAAAATCCTTTGCATAGCCAAAGGAATACTTTTATTTGGTTCATCATCTTCTGTGAGAATTTGATATATTGCCTAATAATTAAAAATAAAAGAACATTATTAGATTTAATGTAAAAAGGTTTGTTTTCAGATTAAGTAGAAGAACTAACCTTACGAAAATATTTTATACTATATAATAATTGTAATTCAGCATTTAAATAATTTATTGCATCCTGATCTTTTAGACCAACATATCCTGTTTCTTTTTTTGAATCATAACTATATGAAAAAAAATTTCATGAAAAAGTATTTTAATTCATAATATTATTTAAAAGAAGATAGAATACTTTGTAAGGTCACGCCATAGGACACCAGTTGGATCCTTTATAATGCGAACAAGGGCCGTAATATTACAGGCATCATGTTCTATTAGTGAACGAGCATTATTAGCCGTTGGGACAAACAACTTACGCAGATCATAAAATCGCGTAAATCCCCAATCTGATTCTTTAGTAGTAAATCGATGATGTGCATCTATAATCAAAAAGAATTAAAATGTTTATGACATGAATTTTATCAAATAAAAGTATAATTTAAATGCGTACGATGAGAAACAAATAATGATGGATCATATGGATTCCATAAGAATAAAGCAAATTGTACACAGCAATACCAATCATCAGATACTTCTTCTAAATCAGCAAAATCCAAATAAATTGAAACACAATCTGTATTATTGTTTCCAACAGGAAAAAGTAAAATTCGCCTAAATTTTATAATTCAATTAGAACATAAGAAATTATACTCAAATTACAGTATATGTTTTTAAAGTAAACTTACCATTTCCAATTTCCAGCATCAAACTCGGGACTTGTTATCCTTTTTTCTAATTCTTTCCAACCTGTGATTCGCCACGTATAATATTGAAAATCCTCAATTTCATAATCAATATTTGGCATAATAGTATTTGCAATAGCTTGAACTACAATTTATGAAACTGAAAACGTTAATATCATGATGCAATTATATTATGCTAATTAAAAACGTTATACGTAATACATACAATCTACATTCAAATCGGTCATTTTGTTAAATATATTTCGAGAAAATAAATAAGTACATATAAAGATAAAACGAGGAACGGATATGGACTTCTAGATAAGTTAGTAATTAAAGATATCAGGTTACAACTTAGTCAATTTCATTGAATTTGCATATAATAGTTACACAATGTTGTGATTTGGAATGTTTCTCCAAATTCTAAAAGTGAATATAAATGGTAATCATGTAACAACGAATCCTGCAAAATGTTACTTGTAATTATGATCTTGATAATCACTTATCGCTATCGTTATTAAATATTAAAAAGTTTAAGAGCTCGTCTTATGTTTATTCTATTTTCGTTTTTCAGATTTTTCACCGAACAGATGAATTAGTAATTAAAGACCATAACGATAAATAAATATCAACTATCAATCACATAAATATATTAAATATTAATTATATAAATATATATATTATTTTTTAAAAATATTTGATCTTTTAAAACTAAAAATTAAATCTGTTATTCGATTAAAGGTGAGAATTAAAAATAGACTCCAATATACTGCGTACTACACACGTTTGACAAGTTTTTTTTTGGAATTATAAAAATCAAAAGCTTGTAATTTTGTTAAAGTGCAACTTGAAAGAAATTGCATTTAGAAAAATAAAATTCACATTGCTACATATAGAAACAAAGTTTGTATTGAGAGAAAGTTGGTTGCATTAAAAAAATATATTATCCCCTAATATATATCGCTTTTTCACCATCTATTCTTCCCACACGTCCCGTTTTATCCACATAGTCAAGTCCTAAAAGCTCATCTGTAAATCTAAAATCCGATAGAATAATACCTATTAAATGCGCATAATAACATATCAGCAATTTAAAATTTTAAAAGTAAAAATCGAAAAACGAGTATACATACCATTATCATCTATATACCAAAGCTCGGAACTTGATGCCGATTTAATAATTGCAACTTTCACTTTCAAGAAATCTTCTTCATTAATTCCTAAGCGTAATCGAAGGCGCAACTTTGTCATAGAGAAGGGTTCACCCTAATTACATAAACATAGAACATAAATATCATAACAAGCATAAATACAAGTAGATACTGAAAAGGTACTAACATCTTTAAGAACAAATTTAAATGGAATTCCGTGTGCACGTGACGGTTCCTTAGTAAAATGAAATACTTGAATAATTATATCATCAGTTCCTAGTTCAATTTCATCTTGTGGTATTTCCTAAACATGAAACATGTTATTTTTCAAAAATCGAGATAATATAATAAATATCAAAAAATTAAAAGAAGGTACAAACCTCTGCGTATAACGTCAGATGTTCCTGTATTTTATCTATTGAATCATAAACGTTATATTCATTCTGAATTTTGCAATTTAAGGCATCATATAATCTAATTTTATAACTAATTTGTGGCAATGCTAGTTTTTGTACAATTACTCGAAGAACTTCATAGATTTTAGCATTTTTTGGGATACAGACATCAACCTCTTCCTTTATAAAAAGAAACTAATATTAATTAATGAACTAACAAATTTATAGAATAAATCGAAATATTATAATGCTCTTTTACCTCTTTCTTAATAGTTGTCCCGAGCCAATGTACTTTGAAGAACATATTATTTTCTAATTCAATTATATTAACATCAAGTATCTCATAATACAAAAGATTTTGTGTAGTTGTCTGAAGCATCTCTGATAGTGTTTGGTCTGCCACACTTTTAATTATAACAGTTTCGCATGTATCTGACGTTTGATGAGCCGTTGCAAACCGTAATTTTAAAGGATCAGTGTTTAAAAAAGAAGCAACGCGTTTGGCGACCTATAAATGTATAAAGAAGCGAAAATAAATACATAAATTATTGAAATTATATAAAACATGATATTTTGTGAATCACCATATGAAACTTCGCTATAATGCCACCTCAATTTACAATCATAATGATAATAATGTGAAACAATAATTTCAACATACTTCTTTATATGTACATTTTTTACTTAAAATTAACTTAAATTCAGGTTTTTGTCCACGGTTTTTATTTTTTGGCTTAAATTGAACAACAACACGCGTAGATAATGACACATAGAATGTAGGAATATCATAAATATGACCTGCAGTTGTAAGTTCTTTTATTCTAAATTGAGGCAGAAAAGGTTTTCTTATAAAAAAAGAATTAAACGCGAGACAATGTCATGTTAATAAAATAACTTACTCATATTCTGTTAAAGCTTTTTGAAAGCAAATTACATCACCATCTTGTATCTCAGATTCCTGAAAAGTTAATTCGGGTTTCATCTCTACAATCATGGTTGGTTTTATTTCCTATAATTTAATAAAATAAATATGTCATTACTATCAGCAAAGTAATTACATATGAAAAATGCATCTTACTTCGTATATATTCAGGGGTGTATTTTGTGGAAGGTTCTTTTTCTCGCAAAGAATTGGAATGATTTCACCAACTTTATCAACCGAACGAACATATAAAGAACAAACTCCTCTGTTTACATAGACATAAATTATTAATTCTCATGTCAAATGAATTAATAAAAATAAAGTTTAAATCACATACTTTAGAGATTGTTTATCAATATCAAAGTACTTGATGAAAACTAATATATGAGAATCCTCTTCTATTGTCGGGAACCATGCCTATGTGTCCAATAAATAACAGTTGAAATAGTAAGAAATTCATGTTTTATAATATATATATATATAATATATTGCTACTACTTTTCCGTTAATTAGTTTATCGGTCACTTCCAAAAACAATTTCAGTTCATTTTGTCCCGAAGCCATTCTTGTATGAACTCCTTCCATTGCTATTCGTAACAAATTAATAAAAAGTTTATTTCGAAGCAGAAAGAGTGGTATTTTACGTTCGGCCTACCTATGCCAAGAAAATCGTCTGGTATTGGAGTATCTGGCCTTATAGTTTTATTTTGCCGATGTACGAAAACCCAGAATCTCATTTGCTCGATTGGAATCCCAAATTTGTGAGCGATCGCAACTTTAAAAGCACCATATGTTTCACTTTTTAAAACCTTAAATTGCGGAAATTCAGATAGCGGGTATTGTTGATCGTCAATATTAGCAAGATCAAACCCTTGGTGATGCTCAAAGGTAGCTAGAGTCAAGATCTGATAATGGGTTGAGGTAAAGCTTAAACTGCTATGAAGAATCCAAATTTATTATTAATCCTCATAATGTTGTCAAATAGTTACCTTAGTAGTCAAATATAAATGACGCTCTTCTATTAAACATTTATGTGAAAGATAAATTCTCAACACAATTCTAAACTACAGCGTTTCATAAATAAGAACACTTACGTATATGTTTTGGTATATCTTCAACAAGTACCGGAGATAATACAAAGTCGATATCAGATTCACGGATATACACCAATATATATGCATTAGAAACTTTATCCTCGTAATTATCTTCAAGTACCGCTTTATCCATTACAGGTATAACTCTATCATCATCAAATTTGAACCTTTTATGATAATTAATGTTAGTTATATGTCATATTTTATTTATTATAATATAAATATTAAAATTCAGACCAGTTGCCATTTTTTTCTGGTTTTAATAAAATATAAAAATTGTCTTCATGCAATTCACCGCTGTGAACAATTACTCTAAATATAATGAAAAGTTAAATATAATAAAAAGTGATTAATATGTTTTAAAAACATATACATTGAAAACATTGAATCAACAATTACAAACCCATGAAGTAAATAATTATGCGGTTTTGACTTATCACTACTATCTGATGATAAATATCCTTGTAAATCAATTTCCATAGGATATTCAAGACTATCATTTATCTATATATGTATAATTTTTCAATCAACAAATTATTGAATAAAATATTCGAGGACATAATAGATACCTTAATTATAGCATCTCTTTGCATATTATATTCAAACCGTTTTAATTGTATCCGAAGTACAGATGGAAAACTTTCAAAAATTACTCCTTTCTTTGCATCCTATAGATAAATAGAGTCAAAATCTTTGCATTTAATTTAATTTTCAGTTACATTGTAGCTAAAATATGATTTACTTGTAAACCGTATGTTTCAGTTTTGTATTTATTGTTTCCTGTACAAAATTCTTCACGAATAAATTCTTGAAAAGAATCATTTAAAGTTTTGCACCCTTTAACTTTAAGTTGAATATCTATCTCGATAAAAATCAAATGTTACTTTAACCCAATTTTGAATCTATAGGTATATGCACACATATTCACTACTACCATAGTAATCTTCAATAAACGAACTCTCATAATCTACGTTGACACATCTAACATAACTCTTCATCTCTCCTGTAAACAATTTGGAAATAGTACCATCTGCATATGTATTCTTAAATCCAGATTAGATATAATATAAATGCTATCTAATTTATAATGAATGACTTTAAATATTTGTTTAATTCAATGAATAATAAGCTCACCTTCATTTTATTATCTAAACAATCTAGTAACATTCTATAAAACTCCTGTACATCATGCGGCATACAACGATCTGACGAATCTATCTCAAAAGATTTCGTTAATTCTGTCGTTTCAACTGGTGTATCTGATACTTGCAAATTATAAAAAATCCTTTGCATAGCCAAAGGAATACTTTTATTTGGTTTGTCATCTTCTGTGAAGATTTGATATATCGCCTATAGTTAAAAAAAAACGGACACCATTAGATTTGATGTAAAACTATTTGTTTTTTGGATCAAGTAAAAGCACAAACCTTACGAAAATATTTTATGCTATATAATAATTGCAACTCGACGTTTAAATGGCTTGTTGCACCCTGATTTTCTAGGTTAATGTATCCAGTCACTTTTTTTGAATCATAACTATATAAAAAAATTTACATGAAAAGTAAAGTCATAACATAATTTTAAAAGAGGAAAAAGATAGAATACTTTGTAAAGTCATGCCATAAGACACCAGTTGGGTCCTTTATAATGCGAACCAAGGCCGTAATATTACAGGTATCATATTCTATTAATGGGCGAGTATGAGTAGTTGATGGGACAAACAGTTTATTTAAAGCGCAAAACTGTTTAAATCCCCAATCTGGTTCTTCGGCAGTGAAGCGATGATGCGAATCTATAATTAAGATTAGAATATTAAATGACATGGATTATCAAACGACAAAAATTCGATACATACTCTGAGAAGCATAGAACGTTGGGTTTTCTGGATTCCATAATAGCAAACCAAATTGCGCACAGCAGTGCAAATCAGCAAGTACACCTATTGGAACTGAGAAATCCAAATAAATCGAAACATGCGAATCATCATTGTTTCCATGAGGAAAGAGTAAAATACGCCTAAATTTTAAGCATAATATAATTAGAACATGACATTGTATTCAAGTTATACATTTAAGCGAACCTACCATTTCCAACCCCCAGCTTCAAATTCAGGACCTGTTATCCTTTTTTCTAAACTAGTCCAACCTGCGATTTGCCACGTATAATATTGGAAATCTTCAATTTCATAGCCAAGATCAGGCATAATATTATTTGCGACAGCTTGGACTGTAATTTATAAATATAACAAAAAAAGCGTTAACATCATAATAATGCAATTATATATATTTAAGTGGTAGATCGCAGTTGAAGGGTATAAACTTCATAGTAAAAGTCGGTGGATAATTACTATTATTTTAAAAATAATATGGTTATGATAGTGAAATCGCCAATAACTCGTGAACTACTAAACCAGCTCAAGAAAAGCTAGTTTACTACATAAAACCGTTTTTTTTTATTGTAAGTCATTCCTTACGAAAAAAACTATATTATATTATATTCCGACATTTCTACCATTAATTTTGCTATTTTTTATACCCTTTAACCACAATTTACCTCTTAAAGATTTTTCATGATTTAAGGTAAACTAATTAATGCTATAAAACATACAATCCATAATCAGATTCTGTAGTAAACTTATTTAGAGAAAAAAAATATAAATTTATAAATTTATTCCGATAAAGCTCGAATCATTTCTGTATATGGTTATATTTGTTCTGTGGTCATTGGGAGAGCTTTCCACTTGTGTCCAATTTAGCACAGAGTCGTTAACATTAAAATTTGAACGATTATTATTTAAAGATGAGCGAAAGCACAACGGTTAATAGGCCAGTTTTTATTTGTAATACAAGAAAAGCGCAATCCAAATATGTAAAGTGGGCAAGAAAAGGTTCTTTATTTAGTAACATAGTACAATTGTTCCAAAAGGGATCCTTTTATACTATTTAATTTATTACAACATTTTCGTAACATCATTCACATTATCTTTTTGTCTAAAATGGAAATGGAGACCTAAAAAAAAATTTATAAGTATTTCCTATACAATCAAATTTAGCTGTAGTGTTCTATTTAAGGTTAATCTATTTAGCAGACAATAATTGTTATTGCTCTGCAAAATTGTGACCCTTTGATTAGTCGGCAAATCCGAGATTGTATTGAGTCTAGAGATGGGCAAAGTAATTTAACATATTATTACTTATTATTTTTAAATATTTCCGACAATTTTTTGCGTAATAAATAATAATAAGTAAAGATGCAAAATTCAATCCGAACAACAAAATTATTGAGTTTAAAATTTTACTCTCCAGATTACATTTGAAAATTGTAATAAGTAATAATCATGCATCATAAACAATCATTGGTAATAATACGTAAGTTTAAGTACTGGGTAAAAAAATAAGTAATTATTACTTACATTATTACCTTGCCCATCTCTAATTGAGTCAACACAAACTCAGATTTATGATAAATTGACAGCTTTATAAATGCAATCGCAATCACAACTAGAGGTGCAGGCGGAACTTAAAGTATAACTAGTTATAACTTTTTGCTTTAAGTTACGGCGTGCCGTAACGTGCGTGTGTCGTAATTCAACTTTATATGTCGTAACATGCTGTAATTTGTCGTAACGTGTTATATCAACATCGTTTTTTTTTTTTGACCGATTAGACAGAGAATTTTCTTCTTCGGATGAGTTATTTTGACTATCAACTTCTTGAGATATAATATTTTCATTTCGCTCTTGAAGCGGTTTTGATAATTGTCGGAAGTAGAAGGCTAACACGTATGAAGTTGATGTTATAGATAATGGGAAGCTATTATTATTTGAACCGAATTGTCTTTGTTTATATTCATTATAAAAGTTTCCGATTAATCATCAAAATGATTAATAAATACTATTATAAAATGACAAAAATCATTATTAATCGGAGAATCCAGTTCTTATATAGTAATATGCACAGTACTATTTATTTTCCGCGCAGGTAGGAATTATATGACGTCATGACGGTGTTCTTCACTCAAATATCTTTAGTCAGTACAACAAAAAAAAAACAAATGGCTATAGAAAGATAATTGCGTACCTAATGTTTGCTTTAATAACATAATCATATTAAAGGAATTTAAAAAACTTCGTCTTTAATTATAATGATTACTATTTCGCTGACTAAGAGAATTGCAAAAGTTCTTTGTTCTAAATAACTATCATGTTCTATCAAGAATTTTAAGATCTTCATTTAAGTAGTACTGTTGTAACGGCTAACGGATTTTAAAACTTTCTCCAAGGATAAAACCATTATGCAAACTAAAAGAATTATCTTCAAATCTTATATAAAACTTAAAGTGCACCCGATGAAATAACAAGAAATGACGGGGAAATAAAAACTATTACTTTAAAATTGGATGCTTTTATTGATCAAAGCAGTAATTATAAGTCGCAAAACCCCGTCATGCAATCATATAGAAACGTGGAATAATGATTAATTAAATGCAAATACTGACGGCACTTGGGATTTATACGGAAATTGTGATTCGTATGGCAATTTGGATTTGGATTCATACGGTTTTTGCCGCAACCGTAACTGTAACTTGCTGTGTGTCGTACGGTTCATTTGAACAGTTTCGCCTGCACCTCTAATCACGACCCTCTGCAGATACAATGCCGTGTGAGAATCGTAGATTCTGTAAATTTTAAGAATCTTACCGATTTAAAATAAGTATAACCGATCAAAAGTAGGGATTGGGGGTTGAGACTGTGAAAAATTGTGCTAGCGGTTAATCACGTCGCATTACATATTAATTAAAACTTTGAGTCGACACCACAAAGTAACGAACTTACTTAAGTTATCAGGATTATATAAGTTCGTGCAACCTATTTTGTAGCTGCCCGATACGAAAATATCTGAGCAGTCTTTTGTCACGAATCGAACGGAGTGTAAATTGATCGGAGGATTGGGTTATGATTGATTGCATGATTAGTAAGGATTATGCAAGGTGTAATAACGAAGTGATGTAGTATTTTCTATTTGTAATTGTTGAACTTATTGTAATGGTTACGTAATAATGTAGTATCTTGATAAAAGTATATTTAAGGAGATGGGGTTTTTTTGAACAAAATAATTTCTGTTTTTTCTGCTAACCTGACTTGTCTGGTTTTTTTTGATTCATTCTACTTACCCTCATATGTGTTATTTTTTAGCAAACATTGGCAATATTTGACCTGTTGATAATCAAATCATAAGTTTTTAGTAAGTGACATGTTGAGACAAAAGAATTATCACATATGGCTAATATTAGTAAAATTTGACCTGTCAAACTAACAGTCAAGTTTTATGTTTTAGTAAGTGATTGGCCGAAATGACAGTTACAAAAGAATTATTACATATTTTTTTTTGCTTTAGTAGATATCAGTAAGATTTGATCTGTTTGATGGCAGTCAAGACTTAAGTTTTAATAAGTGGCTTGTCAGAATGACAGTTATAAAATTTATCATATACGTATTTGTACAAATTATGTTCTGGTAAGTATTGTTCTTGATGGATGAATAGAGTGTAATGAATTAATAATCATTGTTTTAGCAAATATCAGTAGGATTTGGTCTGTCAGATAATAGTCAATTTTTAAGTTTAATAGACAGTCTGTTGAAACAATAGTTACAAAAAAATATTGCATATTTGCACATATTATACTTGAGTAGGTATTATATTCTTAGAGAATAGGTATAATGTATTATCGGTAAGATTTGGTTTGTTAGATGATAGGTAAATTTTGAGAATTTTGTAAGTAGTTTGTTAGAACAACAGTTACAAAATTATTACATTTTTGTGCATATTATGCTTAAGTAAATATGGTTTTAATTGATAAAACATAATAAATTATTAGTTGTTGTTTTAGTAAAGATCAGAAGAATGTAACCTTTTAGATAACAGTTAAATATTAAGTTTAAAATGTAATTTGTCAGAATGATAGTTGTAAAAGATTATTATAGATATGTATACATTATGCTTAAATAGGTTTTGTTTTTTAAATAAAATATAATATATTAGTAGTTATTGGTTTAGTAAATATTATAGAATTTTTATTTTTTTGTTAAAGACTGTACTTCACAGCAATATTTTTATTAATATATTGAAATTAGTTATTACAACTATTTTTATAGTAATAAAGCATAACTAGTTATATAAACAACTTTTAATTGCTTATTTAAGTAGTTTATCTTAGAGTTTTATACTAGATGTTGTATTTATAATCTACTAAAAGATTATATATTTAAACACTTTGCTCATTTATCTTATCAATTGTTTTTAATTGTCATAAACCCTTGTATATACTTATATATGTATATTTGAACAATGCATATTTTTCTGTACTTAGATTACTGTTTTCTAAAAAGTTATTTGTTAGTAAAACTCAAATCATCTTCTTATTAACTAATCTGTAGAGTTCATTTGAATTTTAATACTTACTTCATAGCATATTTCTAATAGTTTTAATATATCTCTGCTTTATTTTCAAATTTTTAATTCAGATAGCTCAAAAAAATTGTTACCTATTTCTGATATATCAAATTTAGTCTAAAATCCTTTTCTTCTAATACATCTGCCAACCTAGTTGGTAATACCTTTTATCTAAAGGTTTTTGTCTATCTAATTCCTTTATATTGATATTCATTTTTTAAATTTAATCTTTATAATAAATTATCAAAAATCTGTATTGTCTTTTTATTTAAATTTTTCTAAATAGGTTTTTGTTTTTTCAGTTTTATAGATTTACTTAATTACAAGAACTTATCTTGGATTTGCACTGTTCAGTACTGGTTTGCATCTTTTTGTATAACCAAAGTTACAAATATGCTTATAACCTGTTGATCATACTGGTGTGATCATAGTTACAAGTATTTTATCTTAACTGATTGATAAAAAACTTTATTTTTTAAAAATAAATATTTTTTATTTTAATTTTTGTTAATTGTTTATTAAAATTTTTAGTTTTATTTTGATTTTTTATTTATTTTTAAATTTACATCTTTTTTGATTTTATTAACTAAGTAATTTTATAATATTATATTATCAAAATAGTAAATCATTTCGGTTTAGGTCGCAGATAAACTAGTCTGAGCTCTCATTCGTGCATGTAATTTTTATTTTGTTACAAACAACCTTAGTTTATTTCAGTACTTTTGTATTAAAATGTACAGTTAAAATTATTAATAAAGATATGAGCAAGGCCTTACCTTAACACCAAAAAAAAATAAATAGTAAATCATTAATTTTAAAAATAATTCTTTTATTAATATCCAATTACATATCTGTAATTAGAGAAGTTTTTTAAAAAAATTTTCCAATGTTATAATAATTTTTTATTATTATTAATTAATTTATCTATTATCATTTGCTTTATGATTTGTTATGTTAAAATAGTATAAAAAAGAACAAACTTTAAAGTTATAAAATAAGTATTATCAATAATTATAAAATATTATTGATCTACAATAACTCAAATAAGTAATAAATTGTTGTGACTAAGTTTTTCTTTTATAAGATTTATACTAAATATGATTATGTTGTTTTGGTTGTTTTATTGGTACTAATCTTATGCTGATCATTAAAATGTCAAAAAATATTCTGCTTTTGTTAAAGAAACTTGATTACGATCTTTACAAACAGGTTGTTTAGAATATTTAAGTAATCCTGTATTATAATAATCCCAAACTGTGACTGTTCTAAATTTGGATTATTTGTTTGAGTTGACATTTCAATATCAGTATTTGTATTTTTGACACTTGCATTATCATTATCTTCCAAATATAAAGTTGAACGCTTAAAAGAATCCATCTTAAATAGTTAATAAAATTTTAATATTATGCATAAATTAATTTTAAGAAATTGAAATCACAAAAATTTTATTTTAAAGCTTTTTATAAGTAATTACATCAAGAAATATGTAATTAACTTTTAAATCAATGATTTTATCAATTATTAGATTTATTAGCTTTATTAGTTACGATCCGTTTTTTAGAACCAAATTTGAACTTGGACTGTATTTAACCAGGGCCGTAAGTCAGAAATGTTTATTTTTGGAACTATAACATCCCTATTAATATGACCTTTAAACTTAATAACGAAATATATATCTAATCTAATAACAATTTTTTAGCAAATTTTTTTAGGTTTGTAAACATGATGATGTGTGGGAATTATGAATTTGAACTGTATATAAGTAATAAAACATGGTATATTCAAAATTTAATATACGTATAGAGCAGATATTAAATGAATAACTATAAAAATCATCGTGTATAAGCTTTGGTAAATAAACCAAATGTTTAATTAATGAACCTAAAGAATGCAATAACATGTCGACTTACGCCAAATGCAACTTGTTAGGTCTTTAAATTTTCAAACATATAAGGTGAAATTGAATTTTGAAAGAAATTTACATTAGTAATAATAAAATTCGTATTGTATTTGGAGAGTCTAAATTTTCAAACATATAAAATGAGATGATATTTTGAAAGAAATTTGCATTAAAAAGAATAAAATTCGTATTGTATTTAGAGAAAGTTTTATAGTACTATCGTTATCCCCTAATATACATCGCTTTTTCGCCGCCTATTCTTTCCGCACGTCCCGTTTTAACCACATGGTCAAGACCTAAAAGTTCATTTGACAATCCATAATCTGATAGAATAACTATTAAATGTGTATATGACATTTATTAGCAATTTAAAATTTTCAAAATGAAAAAATCGAAAAACGAGTATACACACCATCATTATTCTCTATATACTGAGGCTTAGCATATAATGTAGCTCGTATAATTGCAACTTTCACTTTCAAGAAATCTTCCTCATTCATTCCTAAACGTAATCGAAGACGTAACTTTGTCTTAGAGAAGGGTTCACCCTAATTATATAAACAAAACCATAAAAATTATAAAAAGCATAAATAAGTAAATACTAAAATAACATTTAAAGATACTAACAGTTTTAAGAACAAATTTAAATGGAATTCCATGCGCACGTAACGGCTTCTTAGTAAAATGAAATACATTAATAATTTCATCATTAGTTCCTAATTCAATTTCATCTTGTGGTATTTCCTAAATATTAAATAAATTATTTTTTTTACAAATATCAAAAAGTCACATGAAAAAAAATAAACTAACTTACGCGTATAACGTCATATGTTGTAGTTTATCAATTGGATCATTGATGTTATATTCATTCTGAATTCTGCAGTATAAAACATCATATAATCTAATTCTATGATTAAATTTTGGCAATGCTAGTTTTTGTATAATTACTTGAAGAACTTCATTAATTTTAGCAGTTTATGGGAGACAAACATCAATTATTTCCTTTTAAAGAGGAAAATAATAATAATTTATGAATTGAATAATAAATGTATAAAACTAAATAATTAATATTTTTTTTTACATCTTTCTTAATAGTTGTCCCAAGCTAATGTACTTTAATGAAATTTTTTGTTTCTAATTCAATAATACTAATATCAAGTATTTCATAATACAATACATGTTGAAACATTGAATCTTGAAGTATTTCTGATAATGTTTGTTTAGTCGTACTATGAGGTATAGTTTTGTATTGACCAGACCTTTGACGTACCGTAAACCGTAATTTCAAAGGATCCGTTTTTAAAAAAGAAGCAACGTGTTTAGCGGCCTAAAAATGTATAAAGAAGCGAAAATAAATACATATCAATTACATAATATATTACCCATATGAAACTTCAATCATAATAATAATTTAACGTACTTCATTACATGTATATTTTTATTTAAAATCAACTCAAATCAGGTTCTTGTTCACGGCCTTTATGTTTTGGCTTAAATTGAACGCGAAAACGCATAGATAATGATTCATAGAATGTAGGAATATCACAAATATGACCTGCAGCTGTATGTTCTTGTATTCTAAATTGAGGCAGTAAAAGGTTTTCTTATAAAAAAAAAAAAAGTATTAAAAACGAGACAATATCAGATGAATAAATTAACTTACTCATGTTCTGTTAAAGCTTTTTGAAAGCAAATTACATCACCATTTTGTGTCTCAGATTGCTGAAAAGTCAATTCGAGTTTCATTTCTACAATCATGATTTGTTTTATTTCCTAAATTTTAATAAAATAAATATGTCGTTATTATCAGCAAAGTAATTTCATATACAAAAATACATCTTACTTCGTATATATTCAAGGGTGTGTTTTGTGGAAAATTCTTTTTCTCACAAAGGATTGGAATGATTGCACCAATTTTATCAAATTTTCGAACATATAAAGAACAAACACCTCTGTTTACATAGGCGCAAAGGTTTAATTCTCATGTCAAATGAGTTCTTATCAAATGAATTAATAAAAATAAAGTTTGAATCACATACTTTAAGGATTGTTTATCAGTATCAAAGTAATTGATGAAAATTAATATATGAGAATCATTTCCTATTGTTGGAAACCATGCCTACATATCCAAACAAATAACCATTGAAATAGTAAGAAAAACACATTTTCTACTAATAATATATATATGCAATAGATTGTTAAATACTAGATATTACTTTGTCATTAATTTGTTTATCTGCCACCTCCAAAAACAATTTCAGTTCATTTTGTCTCGAAGCCGTTCTTGTATAAACTTCTTCCATTGCTATCATTACAAACTAATAAAAAGTGTATTACAAAGTAAATAGATTTACATACGATTTACTACCTATGCCAAGAAAATTGTCTGGTATTGGAATATCTGGTCTAACAGTTTTATTTTGGCGAGTTACGAGAACCCAGAATCTCATTTGCTCGGCTGGAATACCAAATTTGTGAACAATCGCAGCTTTAAAAGCACCATATATTTCACTTTTTAAAATCTTAAATTGCGTAAATTCAGATAGTGGGTATTGTCGATCGTCAATATTAGCAAGATCAAACCCTTGGTGATGTTCAAAGGTAGCTAAAGTCAGGATCTGTGAATGGGTTTATGTAAAGCTTAAACTGCTATGGATAATCCAGGTGTATTCTTAATCCTCATAATGTTGTCAAATAGTTACCTTAATAGTCAAATATAAATGATGCTCTTTAGCTTCTTTTTTTATCTGTTCATATAAAGCTTTCTCTTTATCTATGCATCTTTCTATTAAATATTTATGTGAAGAAAGATAAAGTCTCAACATAATTCTAAACTACAATACTTCATAAATAGGATCACCCTTACGTATATGTTTTGGTATGTCTTTAGCAAGTACTGGAGATAGTACAAAGTCGATATCAGATTCACGGATATACACCAAGATATATGCACTTGTAAATTGGTTAACATTTGTTCCGATTATTTTAGGAACTTCACCGCCGTAATTGTTTTCAAATACATCTTTTTCCGTTACAGGTGTAACTCTATTATCATCGAATTTAAACCTTTTATGACAATTAATGTTAATTATCTAATTTTTTTTATTGCAACCTAAAGACTAATTTTTTTTTGTTAAAATTCAAACCATTTGCCATTCTTTTCTGGTTTTAAAAGAATGTAATAGCTGCCTTCATGTGATTCATCATTGTGAACAATTACACTAAATGTAATAAAAAGTTATTAATATGTTTTAATTAGAAATGTATACATTGAGAATATTAATTCACAGTTACAAACCCATGAAGTAAGTAATTATACGATTTTGACATATCGCTATCTGATGATAAATAACCTTGTAAATCAATTTCCATGGGATATTCGTAATGATCATTTATCTAAGTACGTATGTATAGTTTTTCAAACAAATTATTGAAATTATTGAATAAAAGATTCGAGGTCATAATGGATGCCTTAACTGTAGTATTTTTTTGCAAATCATATTCAAACTGTTTTAATTGTATACGTAATACAGGTGGAAAACTTTCAAAAAAAAATTATTCCTTTCTTTGCATCCAATGCAATTTTCAGTTACATAATATCTAAAATATGATTTACTTGCAAACCATAGATTTCAGTTTGGTATTTATTATCTCCTTCACAAGACTCTTCACGAATATATTCTAGAAAAGAATCATTTAAAGTTTTGCATCCTTTTACTTCAAGTTGAATATCTATCGCGATAAAATCAAATGCTACTTTAACCCAACTATAAAGTTTATAGGTATATAAACACATATATTTACTACTACCATAATAATCTTCAATAAATGAACTCTCATAATCTACGTTAACACATCTAACATAATTCTTTATTTCTCCTACAAACAGCACCAGCTGCATATGTGTTCTTAAATCCAGATAGATATAATATAATCCAATTTTATAGAGAAGGAAGTTCGAATAATTTGAAATATTTATTTAATTCAATAACAAATAAACCTACCTTCATTTTATTTTCTAAACAATCTAGTAACATTCTATCAAACCCCTGTACATCATATTGCATATAACCGTCTACCGGATCCATCCCAAAAGATTTTTTCGTTAATTCAGTTGTTTCAACTGGTGTATCTGATACTTGCAAATTATAAAAAATCCTTTGTATAGCCAAAGGAATACTTTTAATTGGTTCGTCATCTTCCGTCGGGATTTGATATATTGCCTATAATTAAAAAAATGGGCACCATTAAACTTGATATAAAACGATAAACCCATTTGTTTTTAGATCAAGTAGAAGCACTAACTTTACGAAAATATTTTATGCTATATAATAATTGCAGCTCAACATTTAAATAACTTGATGTTCCTTGGTTTTTCAGGTTAACATATCCAGTCACTTTTTTTGAATCATAACTATAAATAAAAAAGTTTACAAGAAAAGTAAACATATAGTAAGTCATAATACAATTTTAAATATGATAAATACTTTATAAATTTATGCCATAAGACACCAGTTGGGTCTTTAATAATGCGAACGAAGGCCGTAATATTACAGGTATCATTTTCTATTAACGGACGAGGATTAGTTTTATGTCGGGTAAACAGCTTTTTTTGAGCGTAAAACCGCGTAAATCCCCAATCTGGTTCTTCAGCGGTGAAACGATGATGCACACCTATAATTAAAATTAGAATATTAGTAACATAAATTATTAAATGATAAATAATTTAATACGTACGTACTATATGAAACATAAAATGATGGATCTTCTGGATTCCATAACATCAAAGCAAATTGCACACAACAATGCCAACCGTCAGGTACACATTTTGTATCAGCAAAATCCAGATAAATTGAAACAACGTCTGAATTATTATCTGAACTACTGTTTCCACACGGGAAAAGCAAAATGCGCCTAAATTTTAAATATAATATAATTAAACCATGAAATTATATTCAAGATACTGTATATATTTAAATGAACTTACCATTTCCAACCTCCAGCTTCAAATTCAGGACCTGTTATCCTTTTTTCTAAAATTGTCCAACTTGTGATTTGCCATGTATAATATTGGAATTCTTCAATTTCATAGCCAGGATCTGGCATAATACTATTTGCAATGGTGTGGTCTGCAGTTTGTAAATATGTAAATATAGATATAACAACCAAGAAAACGTTAATATCATAATGAAATTATAGGTTTTTTTTTAAGTATTATGATAAACTCATTATACTGATTATAATACTATAAAACATACAGTCCATAATCAGGTTATTGATTTTGTTGCAATTTACTGTAATAAAAAAAAAAAAAAATTTGTATATGAAAATAAATGAAATAAATGAGAGACGGTTACGTATAAACTTTTGAATCATTACAAATACTATTTTTCAGTTTACAACTTAGTCATTTTTAAATGAATGACCATATAATAGTTACACCATATTGCAATTTGGGAAATCTTTTTGAAAGGTTTTCTATTTAGATTTTGACACGTGCGCATTCCTGTGGTTCGTAACGTGAAAGCTATAAGAGAATCTAAGCAGTAGTTTATGTGACAATAAACCCTGTCAAGGATAACATAATGGTGCAATAAAAAAAAAACCGACGCTAGTGTCTCCCGTAAAAAATGGTAGCTGGACTAGTGATGCTGTAGAATCTCAGGACATTGGGATGAGACGTATCGTAACTAAGTTATAACTTGTCGTAACATTTATTTTAAGTCATGGCATGTTGCAACATGCGCATGCGTAACTTAATTTTATACTTATTAACTCATGATATGTATGATATGCTACGTATAATTTATACGTATTACATTTATACCATAAATACATGTAATATCTATATTAAAGAATTATTCTTTCTCTTCATTTAAATATTGGAGCGACTATTCTTACCAGATTATAATTATGATTTCCTGAAGCCGACCGTTGAGGCTTCATAATGTTCATCACCCAAATCATCTCCAACATCAATATAATCCCACCACGTTTTCTTTTGAACCAATACATAATCCGATGATTGAAAATTTTTTGCATTTCTAATATTTTTATGACAAAGATATGACCACAAGCATCTATTTACACTAATCTTATAGTTTCAATTAGTTTCGGTAGTGTTACGCTATTGATTAAAGTTGCACTTTTTAATTTAAGTTACGATATTAGCTAGTTACGTTACTAATTAAATTTACTTAACATATTATTAATGCGCATAACGGATCCATGCGATTTTAAAAAGCCTGATGATTATTATTAATCGACTTTAAAATATTAATCATCCTACGTAAAGTCGGCGAAATAATTGTCGAAGACAAAATGTCGGGAAATGATATGGACCTACGCATAAAAATGCGCGGTAAATTCACGATTTTGATTGGTTAATGGCTACAATCAAAATTTTGTCCAATATTAGGGATGTTAATCGGTCCCGCAGTAATTGCCATCTGACTTTGAGCAAGATTTGTAAAAAATTGGTGTTTTTAACTAGTATTTATTCAATGAGTAATATTATAGAAAGTTATTTATTTATAACAGTCTCTAATAGACTAGTGATGTGCACACGAGCATGGAAATATTTCGGAAACCCATAATTCTGGCCTGCATTAGCAGCAAGCTACCATAATGCAGGCCAGAATTACATGCGCATGAAATTTGAAAAAATCGGACACTAGATGGACCGACCAACAAAATTTTCTCCGTCCCATCTAAATTACTCAGAAACTTATACAAAACCGATAAACTTTTATTAAAGATTGTTAAAAAAAATAAATAAATAAGGTTTCTATAATATTACTTATTGAACGAATACTGGTTAAAAAACATCAATTTTCTACAAATCTTGCTCAAATCCAGCTGATAATTACTGCGGCATCAATTAACATCCATATCCAAAATATCAGGAGCGGAGTGTATGATTTTAATGAAGAATAAACCGAAAGCAAGCTGATTGGATTATACATTCGTACTGACCACAATTTTTCTCATGATACTAATTTTGGAAATCCGTTTTCTCACAAATGACTACTAATTTGTCGCTTTAGTCTTTTATAGACTATTTTTGTGATGGCTGCTGTGGCATTATCTCGTTAAATGCAGGTTTTCCTATTTAGAATTATGATTACATATGATTGTTAAGAGACTAATATAAGTGTTAGCTAGTAATAGTAAGGGATATTATCATATTGGTTCAAGTATGAAATCAGTTGAGGGAAGAAAAGAATATGTTTGTAATGCATAGTATTCAAGAATCTTTTTTAGTATAGGGAAGTTATTTTTCTCTTTGCTATTACTCATCTTATAAATGATTCTTTCATTTTAATAACTCAACAATAAGTTTAATGTTGAGCAGCTAATTTGTTAAATAAAATATATTAGTAAATAAAGTTAGATTTTGTAACTACAATATTATATAACATTTTTTAAAAGTTGCTTTCCTTCTATTCTATTTTATTATTACTATATTGTCAATAAAATGTTTTATTAACATACATTCTTTCAAAAAGGTCTTTATCTAAGAATATATTTGTTCTGAAATTCTTGCTTAGATGAGAAATTTTTTGATAATTATTTTTTTAACTTAATTTTAACAAACCATAACTCTATATTAGCCCAATTCTAATATTAAATAAAGTCAATTTTATGTTAAGAAAATAATTGCCATTAAGATATCTTGTCTAAAAAAAAGTATTGCCTAAATATCTAATGTAGATAAATATCTTTTTAAAAATATACAGTTAATTATATTGATAAATTTCTAAAAAACAGATTAATATTCAAACATTAAAAAAAGAAATATCCAATACTCCAACTCGAAGAACTTAAAGTGTAAGATGCCTTACAAATATAGAAAGCTTCAATGTCAGAAAGGCTGGTGAGGATGGGCTAAATATGTCACCACTTAGCATCCTGAGATGATCATACCAATAGAGAGAAATTGCCTATATAATAAACTGATAATATAAAAGATGCAATCAATTAAGAGATGGAGTAATTAATTAGACATGAATTTTTATATTATATTTTTAAATTTTAGAATACTTTTTAGAGCAGACTGATCAGTTTACTGTCTTTGTAATAGTCATTTAAGGGTCATTGCTGCTAAGTTTACTATTGTTTTATTAGATCTGAAGTAGGAATGATGATTTTTAGCAGTGATTACTTTCTGTGATAATTCTGTTATATAAAAATAGATATTTATTATTATAAAATTATTGCAGAAAATAATCACAGCTAAAAATCATTGTTTGGACTCGTAAAAAGGCCCAATTTGGAATATCCACTGATATATAATATAAAATATCTTGTCAGCAATTTGGTATTAATAAATATGTTAGCAAAAAAATAACTTTTAAAAAAATAAAGAATTTTTGAGTATATTTTAATGTAGTTTTATGAATAGTTAATTTCAGTAGCATTGTTTTAAAGAATGTAGAGCATGTAATAACAATAAAATTTTTTTATGTTTTTCAATTATTTTCTATTAACTATCTGATTAAACAACAATAATATATTCATCTTTAATACATTTTTGTCTGACCAATCTTTGTTGTACAGTTAATTTCTCTCAAACAGTAATAATAGTACTAATAATAATATAAGTAGTGTTACTGATGAATTAGTAGAATTACACACACAAACAACAAAGAAATATGATGAATTGTCACTATCAAATGGGAATGTTGCATAATGATTAAGGAGCATTTTTAAAAGAGTTAGAATGGAGTAAGTGTAGGTGTTCTGAAAGAGCATTCTATTTTGTAAATTTTATTTTTTCTGAATAGAAATTTTTTTTAGAGTTTTTATTTATTAATTTTATTACTTTTTGTAGGACAGGAAAGACATATACTTTGTTCAAGCAAAAATAATTCCTTTTTATAAGGATTTTACAGAAAAGCAAGAAGAATATTTTTGAAAAATTTGTTATTATTCTAACATATTTTGTTCCATTACCTCAAACTTTTTTCTTTCTTTTAGCTAATTCTTTTATCTTTACAGCCTCTAGTTCTCTAACAACATTTGGTATCCAAAAATGCTTCCATGTTGTTTCCTTCTATTTTTATATAAAATTCAAACTAATTATTGCTTTTTGATTTAATATTTTATTACTTACTTTTTCACAGCTTCTATTTCTCACTCATTCAATATTTTCTTTTTACCTTTTAATCAATATTCTTATCTCTTTAATTAATTAGAGATACATCTACACAGTTACAAGTTTTACTTGACAAAACAATATTAACCTATTGACTTATTTTAACTTTTACTTTCATCAATCAGATTAATGCAGATTACTTTACCATTTTGGACCTGTTATCAATAATTGTTCTGAAGACTTAGTATTTATGTTCATAATCTTATATAGCATTGATTCAGGGTTTTACTATTTATCTATTTTAAATAATTCTTTGAAATTAGAGGGTACAGATTTGCTACTAACAGTAGATTAATAATTTGAATTATAACTAGGTTAATAAATATGTTTATAATATCTATATCTATAGTTAATGATAAAATTACTGAATTATAATATTATGACATTCTAGAATAAATTCTACTATAATAACTGATTGCTATAAATGTTATATGTTATAATGTCATAATGTAGTAACTGTAATGCCATAACTGTAATGCTGTAACTATAATATCATAACAATAATCTGTAACTGTAATAATATAATTATAATATTATAATATTACAATATAATATCTTACCAAAAAATCTAACTAACACACTAAGTTTGTTACAGTAAATTCTCAACTTAATTAAGTAATAAAAATAAAAACTTAAAAAATTTATTAAGAAACCAATTTAATAAATAACAAATATATAAAAAATAAATTACAAATAAAATAAAAATTATTAAATGAGGATGGTGATCCTAGTGTAGTGGTTAGGTTGTCATCCTCCAAGTGGCAGGTCTAAAGTTCAAATCCCACCTATGACAAAATTTGAAAATTATATCTGTGTTACAGTAACTGTCTTCTGTTGATCAGTTGGCCTTACATGACTGTTACTCAGGTACACCAAGTTGGGTCCCTCTGACATTAAAAGCTCAGGCATCTATGTAAACTATAACATTACACATATATAGAGGAATATTAACCAGTGTTGTATAAGACTTTAGTGCAAACTCATAATAAGACCATTGGGCATAGAAGACTAAAAAACTGAGGTGACAGAAACCTACTTAGAAATTCCTGAATAAAGAGACAGTATGAACTTTTGATAGTACCATTGGACCAATTGAAGCTCATGAAATACCTTTATAGAAATCAAAGATTAAAACTGGACATCAAATATGTATAGAAGAGCATATAACCAACCAGGTTACTGGATTCATCAGAGGAAAAGAATATATAAATATACTATA